GCTCACCGACGCCCTCATTGACCGCCTGCGAAACTACAATGGCATCGCCATGAGGGCTAATGTGGGCAACCTTTCTGCAATGAAAAAGGCTACCTTTGCCAGTCTTTTTCATTGCAGCTCTACCGACAAGAAGCCGAGACATGGCCTGTGTCCACTTGGACCGTAAAGCTGGTGCAGATACCTAAGGGTCGAAGCACTCGACCAAGGGAAATATGTACACAAAGGAAGACTCAAATGATGTGCTCAACAAAGTTAAAACTGTCTACAGTGATCTGTGCTCTGATGAACTTCTAATGAAGTGCCTTCATGGGAAGACTCAAAATACTAATGAGTGTTTCAATGGTCTAATCTGGCAGCGGGCACCCAAAGAGGTCTAAGTAAGCTTGCCTACAGTAATGCTAATAATGGCAGTGTAAGCACCCTAGATATCCTGAGGCAAGCTGGCATAGAACCAGGGTACCACACGACCAAAGCTTGCATCGCCAGGGATCACCTGCGCATTCAGAATGCTAAACGCAAGTCAGCGGATGGGACAAAACAGGCCAGGAAGAAAGCACGAGCAGCCACCCGAACAGAAGGAGCCAATAATGCTTCCGCAGAAGGGCCCAGCTATGAATCTGGTGCATTTTAGGCCTGCATGCGAAGATTGTGACCCTTTTTACAAGCTCGAAAATTTTTGTTTACGTTTTTCTGAAAATAACAATTTGCTCCGAATGTTGCGACCACTTTTATAACGTATTTCTCAGCGTATACTTTGAACTGAAATTTTGCACAATGATTCACAACATATATATCTGTGCAGTAAACTATAATAAAAGAAATCCATCAAATATGTTTCAGTTCACAGCTGAATTTTCTAACAGGTTCAGTCTAAATTGGCTTTTTCCCCATTTTTTGTTTTTTCTTTAGCATTACTTCCTTGATATTCACTGCATATTATTTATTCTAGTTCACTGCATAGCTCCAGCCATTAGTTACACAAATGTCAAAGCTTTACTGAATAAAGCCAACCATTAGTCGCTTATCACAGCTGGCGTGGCTATTTCAAAGCAATTTTTGACAAAGATTACCTCCCAATAAATAAATATTCAATATTTTGCACTGTAAACAGCTGGTTAAATGAAATAAGACATGCTGGTTTTCAGGAAAAAGTTATTTCAACACTGCCTGCCCTTAAAAAATTTTTTGTTTTTGAGTGGCCTACCACCTTAACTATACCCTACAGTTGTTTGTAGCAACTTTTTGACAAAGGCTCAGTTATTATAACTTGTGTGCAAGAACAAGTTTCATACATATACAAGTTTGTGCAATTTTGCAATGTGTTCACTATATAAAATACTAAGGAAAGTACTTCCACCAGACAAATACTCTAGTGGAATATGAGCCTGAATAATTGAACTGTTTTATCTTGATACATTAATTATGCAGATTTCGAGGTCCTGTATTACCTAACGCAAACTTGACTGGATAATTGAAAGGCATGGCTTGCACCATCTTATGGTGTCATCCTTTGGCAGATTTGGAGAACTTATAGTAATACTTTCTTCTGCTCCATACAGAGAAGTCTATTCTATTGCCGGATTGAGAGTGCTCCTGTATGTTCCATTGGCAGATCTAGAGCAGCTCCGTCGTGAGATCCACTCCTAGGAGCAACTTTTTCAACCCCACGCAAATCAGTGAAGTAGAGCGGAAGCTGCAAGGGCCCCGTGCCTTGAAACCGCAACTTTGGGCGTGCCTATGGACGCCGGTCGCATCAGTTGCGCCTCGCGTTGGAGCTCACTTTTTGCTAGCGTAGCGTTGCTGTGCCCAGCGTGCCCACTCAAGCAAGAAGAGAGACACGTGCATCGCGTGACATTTTGACCCTGTCATTTGCTCCAGAGGGAGCGCGTGTTTTATTGGTAGATTTCCTTCTGTTGCCCTCCGCCAGAGCAGAGTGCTCCGGCGCAGAGTTCATGGGTCACTCCAAATCTACTAATGAATGACGCCACTAGTCAGTTCAATGAATTCGGGTACTATGCGCCAATTCCATATACACTTCGCCCACTAACTTGGTCATACAGTCGAACCTCGCTACAACAAACGCCCCTCCAACGGAATTTCCACTTGAGAAACAAAAAATTCTCTGTTCGCTGTCAGAAATCTGTAGGAGTCAATGCATAAATATTCTCGCCCCAACGTACACTCTTTCTTCTGCTGTACCACTTCAACGAAAGTTGACGATGCGATTTCAGGCTCAGAAATTTGAGTCTATGCAGTAAGCCCAATCTTTAACATTTTGATGCATTTTTTTTAGAACCTGAAAATGCATCAAACTGCCCTGCTTTTGCCACTGGCTTGCTTCTGAGCCACAGAAGATCCACAGCTGAAGCTCAGTTCATGGTTTTCCTTCACAGAGCTGCTGGGAGCAATAGCAGAACGATGCCTTTTCCGATGCCAATGTTTATCTTTCTGGATCGCACTTGGCCCCACAGCAGCTGTTTGTCCACATTATCAACAAAATCAGCCAGCCGCGAGTGAGGCATAAAAGCAGCATAGAATAAAGCAAAAGTCACCGCTCCATGATACCTCGCCTCCACGCCTCGGTGTTCTCGGATACACTTTGACGGTGGACAGCTGCTGGTGTTAGCGTGTTAATGCAACTGTTAGGTTCGTCCACAACAGCCGTTGTGGCCGTTGTTTCAGTGCACTTTTCACCATGGCATCGCTATGCATGGATGAGAATCTCGTTGTGACACTGCTAGGAAAGAATAGGATGCAGTTGACACTTTTTGAATTTTGGGAATAAAAGCTTCTTTGTTTTTCTAGCTCAGATCAGCTATATTTTTTCGGTTTTACTACAACAAAATTGTTGTAGCAGGGTTCGACTGTTTACCAGCCCTACGAAGCCACAAGCCAATACCACACAACAATGATAGTTGTGATAAAAAAAGCACCCCAGCGTAAATGGTGCCAGTGCAATCAAAACAGACAAAAAAAATTACGGTCCACAGTAGCTATCGTGCATTGCCAAAATGAGCCCCTGCGCAGGATGCGAGCTTCCATTGCAGCATAGAAGTTGCACGGAAGCAGCATCTTACGTGCTGCTATCAGCGGCAGCGCTTCAAAACACGACCAACAGCCCATGTTTTCCGGTCAAAAGGAATAAAATAATACCATAATAATAAATAATAATATTATTATATTATTAATATTATCATAATAATAAATAATCAATAACTAAGGCCAATGCAACAATTTGCGGTGCATGTGGGCCTCAGATTCCCATCTGCTGCTCAAGTGCTTGCCCGATACACATGCTTCAAAAACTAAGGGTCAGGCCTGCCAGCCAGAACACATTGGAAATTCTGTCATACCGGCTTTACAATAATTTTTTTTTTGCTTTGGCCAAAAAGAATGACCAAACGGTTGCACCGTCACGTGCCGATACTCCAAGGAAGCACATGGCACGCTGCTTGCATACGACTACTGTTTTGCAGTGAAGCAGGTCTCTGCTGGTGCACATCTCGGTCGCCTGAAATGTAGAACCTCGCTACCTCCCCCCCCCCCCTTCCCCCAGTTTTTGCACTATAGCAACAGAGCTGGGGTAGATTATTCAATAATCGGTATCGCGATGTGGAATTGCTTTGTTACTCCCAAAAGCAGTCGTGTCCCTGGGTTTGTTGTGAAATCGGGAGAGAGGATTGCTGGAACACAAACCCTAGGGGCCGAATATGACCAGACACTGCAAACCACCCTGTCAGATTATTTGCAGCTCTCCAAGGTTCCCTAGACACCATTTTCCTTGCACATTCTCTTAAAAATTTCTGCAGTACTGGTGAGTAAATTAATGAGGCTTCACACAGCATAAAGTTTACATACCTCCCACAATAAGGAAACAGTTGACCCTTTTACCAGAATCTACAAGCTTCCTGGCTAGCTCATACAGTCAAGCGACTGCATAGGGAAAGGCTTTGGTTGCCAGCTTGAATCCAAGGACATAAAGTTTTTGCAACTACAAAATTTTTTTTTTGAGAAATTCGCATGGATTTCCGCTGCAGCTACAGTCAACTGCAGATTTTTTTTATCATTCTTGAAAATTATGATGGTTTCACAGTAATATCACAAATCCCATAGACAATCTGCAAAAATGTCCGAAATTTCGCATCCTGAAACTGTTCGGCAAATTTTTTTAGCGCTTTCTGCCTAAACTGATGCACATGACAAAATGTCTCATTTGTGCATGACGAACACACACTTCAAACAATCTAGTTTTACATGCCGTGACCACAATAAGACATTTTTTGGCGACTCGTATAGCTGAGTAAAATGGGGCTGCCATCAAAATGCACCTGCTGCTACAGGATCTCGTCAGTCTTTCTGGTCAGAGACCAAGCACTGTTAACCATACTGCCACCGTGACTGGCGTGAACATGCACAGATATCAATGAAATGTGTCAAGGTTTTTACTGTTGTTTCAACGAGGTTTCAACTGTTGTAGCAGCTCTTTTTAGGATTTGTATTTGCCTCCTGTGCAGAGCCAAGAACATTGGCAGCTGACCAGAAAAAGAGGCCGTTGATTGGTACTCGGACATCCAAGAAAGGTATGTGGAAAAACGTAATCAGTCCGTGATAACCATCGTGTCATACTATCAATCAAACAACCATGTTTCTGAAGCATCGTTTTGATTTATTTGTGGGGTTCAACGTCCCAAAACCACCATATAATTATAAGAGACGCCGTAATGGAGGACTCAGGAAATTTTGACCACCTGGGGTCCTTTAACGTGCACCCAAATCTAAGCACACAGGCCTACAGCATTTTTGCCTCCACCGAAAATGCAGCCACCGCAGCCGGAATTTGATCCCGCAACCTGCGGGTTAGCAGCCGAGTGCCTTATCCACTAGACCATCGCAGCGGAGCCCGAGACATGGTTTTACAACAACGCGTCTCAGCATGTAACAAGTGTCACCAACAAGTCTCAGCATACAACAAGTGCAATAAGGATGGGCATCGTACTTACAATCTGCAGCTTGATGGTCTTTCCTTCTAGTTCTATCGTCCTGATTTTCTGCAGGAGAAAGAAATTACAAGGGTCACATTAACAGAGACCAAACACTGACCAACACTTTGGCATGAATAACGCCAATAAAGCTGTTACACCGTATAGACGGCAAACCCTCAAAAGATACGACTCAATTTTTTCTGTTGAAATATAAAGGGACAAAAAAGTCAAATAATTTACGTCAGAGTGAAAGCTCAATGTATGACATCTGAAACAACAATATAATCTACAACAGTGCCCTACTTACCGAGAAACTTAGGTAAATGCACAAGAACCCAAGCGCCGCAGTAGGACATTCTCAAAATGATCCCGATGACATCAGACAGGCCGCCTACAATTACAAGTAATCAATTTAGCTGTACTAAATAAAGAACCTTCCATGCATCAAGAGACGCAGTAAAATGCTGCTTGTTGGTTTCTCTTTGATTCATGGAAAAAAAGAACCGCTGGACGTTGCTATGGAGAATGGCGCGAGTGGTTCAAAAATTCAATTTTCGTGTGGTTACACGAGACAAGTGGCGCCATCTAGCAGGGCGCAGATTCTAGCGCTGTGGCTCCCGCTGTTTTCGGTCTGCTGCGACTAGCGCAGTAAACCCAGGCATCGTTGTGCACGGCAACAGAGACGTGAATCTGTCCGGTCGGTCCACTTCTTGAGGTGGGTGCGCTAACCCGATACGGACCACTGAAACGAGATTTTATTTCAAAATATGCCTTTCCCTGGCAATAAAGTAACGCTATGAAGTTTCTAGACCTCGATTTCAACAATCAACGTAGACTTGATAGTTGCCTTTGGTGTTCCTTTAAGAGGAAGCTATGTTCTAAGCTCACCGCTTCTAATAGTACAAAACTTCATGACTACAAATACAAGCATGCTTTTATGAGGAAACTAGCAAAGGGCAAAAACAAGTCCATTGCAACATCCCGTGACCAAGATATCAAAAAAAGAAACTGTACAGCACAGCACAGTGCTGGAATCTAATCCACAATTCTTAACTTTTGAACATGAGGCCAGTACATTTTCTAGACATGAATATCTGGACATGTTCAATGAGTTCTGGAGCAAAATCACAGCACTGCTCTCAATACATATGAACAGTATATATCTTTCTTAAGAATCACTCACGCTTTTTTCTTTCTCCACGACGTCACACATGACACATGAGCGCCATCTGGCAGCGTTTTTAGATGCGGAGCATCTTATACTCGCGCCTTGTAGTGCGCCGTCCGCGTCGTCCGCGCCGTCCACACCGCTTCTCGAACATTCGACAGCTGACGCGCGCGCATGCGCCGTCGCCCACTCTTCCACCATCTGTGCATCCCTTCCTCCTCTACACACCGCGCGCGCTTCACTCCTCCACCATCTGTGCACCCTTCCTCCTCTACACACCGCGTTCGACATCTACAATTCTCCTGATTCTCCAGTGGACGCGCATGTGGCGTCGCGCTTCGAGAACATTCAACAGCTGACAGTGCATGCGCCGTCGTGCTGTATATATACTCAAGGTCGGCGCTCGCTCGCTCAGTTGCCGCTCGTCGGTTGGTTTGTACGGCGCGTCGACGTCCAAGGTCGCGGTGAAATAAATTCCAACGAATCGACAAACACAATGATCGACGTCCCTTCGACCAGCGCCGCCCTTTCGCATACGTGTGTACGTGTTCACTCATTTAACACCCCCTCCTACAACCACGTTAACCAATTTAGCCATCGACCCAAGTAAGTCGCAATTTAACACCCCATTTCACAACCACGTTAACCAATTTAGCCATCGACCCAAGTAAGTCGCACTTTAACACCCCGTTAACCAATTATATGGTCCGCATCCTCCTCAGTGTTCCCCCGAGGGAAGCTGCGGGCAATTTTTTTTTTTTTTTTGGAAAATGAAGCGTGTGGCTCAGAGACAGGTCTGCGCGCCCGTCTTCAAGGTAATAAGGTGTAGATACTAGAAATATTTATCTGACACTACATCATTTTTATGAAGCTCTTTAAGCTTCTGTTAAAACCTACGCGTCCCTCTAGAAGCCAGGTTTCCGCAGCTTGACCATATAAGCTACGGGACATGTGGGAGTGACAACTAAGGAGCTGCTATCACGAAATCCTGCGCAGCGACCGAGACGCCTTTGCGCAATCGATTTCTGCCACCCCAGTCTCACTTCCGCTTTTAAACAAGAAAGCCATGGGACCTTAACTGTTATGGGCAGTAAACTCCACAATCAAGAATAACGAGAATGCTTTGAGAGTGTCAGTGACAAAAAAAGCTCAGAGCAGCACCAACAGAGACTGAAATCAACTTGCCCCCGGCTCTGCAAGGAAGAGCAGACACAACTAAAATCATGCTTCACGTGCCTCTGTAGAGGTTGTGCAATGATACTAAAACCCCAACAGGGCATTGCAACAGACCGCGTGACGCGCTGGCACTAGGAAGTTTTGTTACAAAGCTTCTGGCAAGGTTGCAACACCTCCCGGTTAGCATGCGGAGTCATTACGGTGTGAAATTTGAAACAGATTGTCAAAAACAAACCCATACAGTTAAGACACTTCGGGATAAAAACCACCGCCCAACATGTATGCATATTTGCCTACTTAACAGCATGAAAATTCGGGAAACTGCAGCAAGGAGGGGGGTGGGTGTGCACTTAGAAAATTACTGAGGCTGAGACATCTGCACCCGCTGTCATTGCGAAAGCATGGAATTTTAGAGTGTCCACTGTTCTGTGTCCGGCATCTGCAGCCATTTCCCTGATGGTGACAGGCATTTTAATGCGTCCCCACCCGTACCGCTTTGCGTCCTCTTGCCTCGTGATCAATAACGCTTAGCAACAAGCCGTGATCCCCAAGAAATCCCGCGCATAGGCATTCTGCATGGATCGCACTGCCTTGGCAGCTCCTTTGGAAGAAGCTTCCGATGCAGCCTTTCCCTTCCATGACACGTAGTTACAATTATTCGGTGAAGCAATGAGCATTAGGACTGCCTTGTCACCGTGCGATACGCTTACATCAAAGGCACACGTGGTACAGAATCCACACTTGTCACCTTTTGGCTAAGCAACAAAGCATAGAGACAGCTTCGTAAGAGTCCAGAAACACTTGCAAGTACTGTATTTATTCGAATCTAGGCCGTTTTTCTTTAAATTTTCTTTGTATAAAACTTCAGGGTCGGCTTAAGATTCGAGGATTTTGAAAAATGCACTATTTTTTGTAGAGAAAAATGGTTCACAATGAACATATAGACAGTTTTGTAGCCTTTAGTAGCCGAGTCAAAACTGGGCTTATTAAGTACACACACGACACCGCCATTGGGATCATTTTTTTTTTGTGGCAAGTGTCGAGGCCTTGCGGTTGAGGCGAGCTGTTTGTCATTTGGAGGCTCAGTTCGAGTGGTCTCTGTGTGGCATATAACTCAATGATGGCAAACAGGCGGTCTTTTCATAGGGCTGCTTATAAAAGTATAGCTGTCCTAGCAACGGAGTTGCCGTCCATTGTTCAAGCCGGGCGGGACTTTGGAATGGACAAAAAAAAATATGCATCACTACAGCTGCTGCAGCGTAAAACGACATGCCAGGAACTTTGTGCGCTCTTTTAAGAAGTGCGGCATATCCAATGCGCTTGATGGCATTCACGATTGCGCACTGTTTGAAGGCAGCAACAAAGAAAGCGACGACTCGGAATGAGCGTGGCATCTTTACAATGCAAAAACTATAAACAGCGAGAAAAAACGACAAAGAAACACACAACAGGACTAGCGGCTGTATGTATGTTTCTCGAATTATGTGCATCATGAGCAAACTGCTTTGCTTCATCTTCCTATACAATAAATGTTTTCCGTTGTTGAACACTGTTTCGTTCGACCTACATTTCTTTTTTTTCTTGTTCCCGGGCTTTGGGCTTTTGGGGGTCAGCCTTGAAAGTAAATACGGTACTTCCTTGCTTTTGACACCGCCACCGACCTTCCAACTGAACTCTGGGAAATATGCAACCCTCACAACCACTTAACACAACTTATGTCTAGGTCGGCGACGTACCTATAGGCTTATAGTGTACAATCTGTGGGGGCCAAGACAGGCGCAAAAACTGTGGTACATTTGCCTTGCTTACTTTCGGTACGATGGCAAGCACGTCCCCCGGCTGCCAGCCTTTGCTCACATGTGCGGTACATACTTAGCAGTATAGTTAGAGTATAGAGTGAGGTGTGTTTTTTCGCAGCACCACAACTGTTGCAGCAGGAACGGCTCACGTACTTGCGCGATTAAAAAAATAAGCGCCTCTGCTAAGGTGGCCACTTTTCAGGAGATTCGAGAAAGCCTTCGTACTATCAGGAGATTTAGCCAAAATTCAGGAGTCTCCCAACAATTCAGGATAGTTAGCAGGTCTGTATGGCAGAAACTCAAAAGGCTAAAATTTAAAATCCCCGAATTTTTTTTTCAGCTTCGGGCAAATCACCAATTTACATAGTTTTGCTGTGCACTCAGGTTCAGATTTCGTCTCAGACAGCCAAAGGAACGGATTGGGCATACAGTCACAACCAGTCATTGCCGAAACATTGCGTCATCATACGAAGTCTACAGCCCTTGTGCACAACTTTGTCTGGACAATAGGGGTCTATCATTGTGACAACACCAAACTATAACTCAAGACAGCCAGTGAAAATAGACTACAGGAGTAAAACGCATGACAGACTCATAGGAATGCTTCATTCAAGAAACGAGCACTTCCATCCAGCCGTAATACAACACACGAGCGCTCCTATTTTGTCCTAATTGGAATTCTGCTCCAACAGCAGCCACAATATTATCTGAGATCCTCCTCAGCAAGCAATGCTATAATTAGGTACAACGTACTGCATTAGAATTAAAGGAACGCTGCAACACTTTTCCAGGAAGCTTTGGAAGACTCACCAAAGGAGCTTATTGCCTCACGAATTCATTGCCGCAAAAAGTTGTGGAATCAGTACGGGGAGCTACAAGGATTGCATGCCGCAATTGCATTCCCTCTTATCTCGTTTCGGCGAAAGCTCTGGAAGCTAAACAGGGAATGATGGCATAGGGGAAGGAAATGCATCATGTGCACCTCCTGACCTTGAGCCCTTTTAAAGACAACAGTCTTTCTTGGGGTACTTCGAAGCAAAACGTTCGGTCTGTCTGTACATTTGTCTGTCGGCCGATACGATACCCCAAACGTCAAAAATCCCACCCCATCCGCAGCACACACTAATATTGCTCAAGTTTCAGCATTCATACTTGCGTGATTGTCAATTAAAAAGCAATTATTACGCATATCTGAGGCACAATAACAACACGTGTCTTTAGACTAGAAAAGGCAGGCATTCTAAGAACGTAGCGTTTATCCCGCTGCGCTGCAGTGAAACGCTATGCACAGAAAGGCAAGTGTTTCCAACACTTTGCTAAGACGACACGGTGGTGGCACCTGCCCGTCGCTTTGCATTCTGCTACCTTATCGACGCCTTCCTTTGTTTTCGAAGATAACTGCCTGATAGCGCTTGTGTCTCACGTGCCTCGATGTGCTTGTTCACTTTCGCTGCACGGATCAAGGCACTCTAACACAGCACACCTCCAGAATACAATCCACCGATTTTCTCGCACACCTGCCATTCCATAAAACAACTGTGCGCCTGTTTCCCTCACCTGACCAATCCCCCTCGTACGTGCACTCTGACGAAACACACCACTGATCTCGTTTATAGGTTCTTTATCCTAAGATAACGGTGCATCGACCCTGCGGCAATGCGGTTTAAGCCGCACAGCGAGCATTTTCAATCTTCTGTGCCCCCCTCTGCCGTTTTGTAGGGCCGGACACTCCGGGAGAAGCGGCATGGCAAGAACAAAAGCCTCGGAGATAAACAGAGGCGTCCCAATACTATACCGCAAGAGGAAAAGTGCTGCTCACTCTGTTTCCTGCCTGCTACGATATGACACGGGCTCGTGGGGGGAGGGGGAGAGGGAGCCTGCTGGTCGTTGGTTGTACGCTGATGATGTATCCCGTATGTGTCGCATTGCCGAAGTGGGCGGAGCCACGGCGACGGGCTACACCTTTGCAGAGAAGCTTGACGAGTGGCCGCGCGAAAATTTGAAACCAGCAGAAACTGATGTTCTACCCCTGTAACTTCCTTATCATAGGATATATTCGCAAAATTCTTGCGGCAGCATGCTCACCTACCAAAACCACGCATATTTCTTTTTGATTACTTCAGTGACAAGAGAAGCAGTCCTCTTTACGTTCTCTGCCACCACCTGTCAAACTCACGAGGCCTGTTTACAGCAAGAACCAATGGATACATGCTCGTTTTCTACAGTCTACAAGGAGAACAAGCCACTGCCCTTAACGGGACCAGCAAATATGCACGAGGCAAAGAGGAACATGTACACAGCACGCCCTGTACGCACGTGAGGAATATGTGTCGCTTGTCCTTGTCTAGTTGCTTGTATTCGCTGTCACTGATTAATTGCAAGTACGAGTCATCGAGCCCAAAAATGTGTCAACAAATAGTGATAAGGAACCTACAGACCACTTTAACAGCACGAGCAAAAAGCAACTTACCACAATGAGAGTTGCCCGATCTACCTGTAGGTCTGTTTGTTTTTTTTTTCTTTTTGCAAAAATAACAAATAAAAAATCCTGAACACGAAAAAGTTGAAAGTGAACCATGCAATTTCACTTATAATTGCTGAAATATTGACACTGGTAACGGTCTTTCAACAAAAAGTGACATCTCCTGCTCTCTTCCCTTAAAATAGTGTTTCCATAGCAATCGGGTAACAAACTACATAAACATGCTACATTACACGCAAGTTATGTTACAAACAGGATTAGGTTTAGAGAGCTTGAATGAAATGGAAAAGCAGGGAATATGAATGCCTAAAATTCCAAAAACGTCGCACGAGAAATGAGCCTAATGTTTTTACACTGATAGTTGTCCTCATCAGGGCCCTCTTCAAATGACATCTTCGGCAACATTCTTTGTACAACATTACGATCCAAGGGCTCTACGGAAAAATCGCGAGGTTAAGAAGCACACAACAGTGCGAGAAACTTATCTTTGGCCAGTTGAAGTTCTTCCTAGACATGTGCATCTCCTACACTCAACGCATAGCTCTACCAAAAATCTTTTATGCTACACACTACAGATTTTCTACTGTGTCGTTGCAGGTTGAACATCCATTCACAGCATTCCATACAAGCAAACGAATGGGAAACTTACAAAGTCGACACCAATCGTGCTGATGTAGCTTTCCGTGTATGTGTCGTCCTGCAAGAAAAGAAAAAAAAGGGCACAACTATAGATGCCACTTTAGAAGAAGTTGTCTCGAAAGCTTTAAAACAAATGCCAATATGCCACTCAGACATCCAAGGAAGGTAACTAAATGGATCACAGAGGTTCACAATTAGTTGGGTGTGGTTATCATACGTGGCTTGGCTCCTACGCCTTCCTTCAAATTTCACAATTGTATTCAGAGCAGTGAAGTTGACTACACTGTGTTGCTGTGTCCTCAGCGGAGTATGGACAGATTAGAAGACCTACTGAAGCACTTCACGTTGGTTAAATTAATATCAAGGCAACACAGCAAGTGTCGAAAAAGCTTGAGGTCTCACGCCCCCAATGGTTGCCAAATAGATTAACAAGCGTCCAATACTATGAACCCTGCGCTGATAATCCTCAAATAAAAGGTTTGTAATCAACATTCCCGTTCTACACTATTAGTAATAACCAACCCTTTTTGTTTTATTTCCATTACAACAGTAAAAGAATCTTTGAAAGTGTTCTTACAGCAAATTCGTCTACATTCGCAACGCCAAATATTAGGTTGCTGCACAGCAAGAATATAAGTTACGATTTCCCATACAAACACCTCCATTAGCAGGTCTTACGATGTACGGTGCTTCTAAATAAACCACTGTGCGAAGCAATGTTCCCAAACCTAGAAAACTGCTCTCCGAGCAGCAACAAAGTGCAGCCATTTATGTTGCTTAGCAGTAAATGAAACCTTCAAGCAATGACAATGAGACACCATGTTAGAAGAAAAAAAGAAGAGGCCATGTCCTGTTCATCCATATCTTAACCGCCCAGAATAAGCGGACGTTTTCCATATTTTAATAAGGTAAATAGCTTGAGAATGTCATACAATTTTACATATCCAGGACAGAGCTCTGAAAATTTTTCCACGTGATCTAGTAATTTCACAATTGCTTTTATTACAGCAACTGCTACACATAGTTAATTGTCCCATTTAATTGTCCCAGTTAATTAGTTACCAGCTTAATGCAGTCTTCGCGCTTGTGTGCAGCTTTACTGTTCTATAGGGAAGGTCACCTGTACAGACTTGACTATGGGACCTCCATTTGTATACTCGTACCAACGCCATTGGTAACCTTGTAATGTGCAATAAGTCAGAAAAACTAAATTTTTTTTAACCTAATCACTCTTATAACAAGATCTGAAAATATTACACTTAACCAATGCGCTGGCACTACTAAAAAGTGGACACTCACCGCGAACCTGAGCAGCAGACAGGACTTGCCCACTCCCGAATCGCCAATGAGGAGAAGCTTAAATAAATAGTCGCTGCAAAGAAAACAACAGGAAAGACAGGTGAGTTCGCAGTTGACACGAGCCACCAAAGTGAACAGAAAAGAACACTGAAAAATCGTGTCAACATATGTGCGGAAACGGATCATGTATTTCTCGCGAAATACATGATCCATTTTCATTAAGGCCAAACAGCAGTTATGACAAATTCAACGTAGAAGTCCAGACATCATGGATAGTCCCATACTTACGACTCTACAGCAAATGAGTGATCCAACTACAATGGATGCGACGAAGAGTTGCTCAACGAGCATCATCGCTGGAATGAGCATTTCGAAAAGCGCACTCATCTGGGTCCGGTGTCAACACTCTAGTTGAAATGTTGACACCAGCACATTCCTTGTTGAATGACACATAATCCCTTAAAACCTCAATCTTCCTTTAGCACTTTGTCCTGTTTAAATCGCTAATTGTGCATGCTGTACAATAAAACATCAAATATCTACAAAACTTCTTTATGCTAAATTTGAGCACAGCTGTTAGGTTCTCCAAATATGAGAAAAAACTGCTGGGTCTTCATGGTAGCACTACGAGTACTTCGGCAGCATGAATTCCCGTTTTTCTTGCGTTTTTTTCAGAAGTGTGCAGCTGCGTATTCTGGCACCAGAATGCACTGAGCCTTTCCTCATCTGGCTCGTTAGGCCACAGTGGCAGAATCGCAGCGGTTGCATTGTTCATTTGTGGAAGGTGTGAAGAACACACAACACTTTCACTGGCAAAGTACTGCATACAGCACCTTTGCCACCACTTTTTAAAATGCATCCCTTGCTATTTCTACCTTTCGTCCTCTGCTGCATTTTATGCTTCCATCCGGTTTCTGCTGTATCTCGCTCCACACTTTCCTCTTAGTGCTGTCGAATCTGTTAGGCCCTACGTCCACTCTCGTGTGCCCGTGTGTTCGTCTGAAGACACTAACGAGCACGCTGGATATCCTGGTGTGATGCCAGTCATCAGACATCCAAGGAAGGAACGGAGAAAAAAATCAGCGTCTGTCAGCTCCGCAAGGATTATCATCACGTCTGACATCATTGAGAATGAACCAGCAAATGTGCTTGCAATGAACTAGTCCACTACACGTGTAAGCTGTGGTCACCTGTTAACTTTCTGAAAGCTACTCTGTGCACAGTTCTACAACCCCATTCTGTGCTGTACAATGGTTCGACATTTTCATGTACTGTCCACAGCAAAAGCTTGCGGGATGGGCAGTGCGTGGCGGAGCGGCGGAAAACTTCATTGCTGCACTACCTACTATGCCACACCGCGGTGTCAAGGTTACCGTATGCAGCCTCGTCGGCGCTTGGCAACGGCACATTTTTGACAACGCATTGCACTGCTTTTTAGGAAAGAACATAATATTTTTAAGAACATATTTGGCATATTTGGCTCGGCGCATAAGAGATGTGGTACGGCGCATCACGCGGAGGCCCGAAAGGCCCGGAAAGGAGGAAGGATTGTTTCTTGGAATTTGTGGCGCGCCAGCGACTCGTAGCACTGCCACGTGCAAAATCGTTCATCGTGACTGCATTTTGCACACAATGTGCGCATTTACTTGAAATGCTTGAAAAAAATGTCAGAGGTGGTTTGCGGGAAGGGACAACGTGTGCTGCACTTAAATACTGGAGGCTGCCATGGTATCTTGCAAAGTATGTGCATTAAGTGTACGCGAAAGGATTGTGAACTTATACACTGCGACCACTGCAGTTTACAACCAGGTAGTCCAAGGTTTCTACAATCCCATGAGAGAAGTTACTTTCAACAAAAATTTGGTAGCGTGCCCCAATCTACCAAGTAAGCAAAGCTGAAGCTGAAGAGGCCCAAGATGAACACCATTGGCAGAATGTACTACTCACATCTGCAGAGGAATATGAAAAAGCTCCGCCATTGCACAAAAAGCTGCTACAAAGATAGGCTTTATGAAATAGGGCCTTGCAGCTTATTAAACGCACGAGTGTACTCTATGATCTAGACAGCGTATGTTTTCAAAAGCCATGCCTCAGCTCATTAGAACTTATGATGTGCCAAACCAGACAATTATATCTACCTACAACCTATTCACAAGGTCAAGAATTAAGAAGAGGAATATGGCGATTGAATGGTGGTGTCAAATCCAACAGGCGAGTTAAAAATGCATTGAATAAATTTCACAATAAAACTTCTAGATCTCCTGCCCTGTATGTAAAAGCTGCAGGTGAATTGTGTTTACTGCCAAGAAACTTGCATAACCTTTCCATCGTGTGCATACAAACCAGCAGCACAACCTAAGGTATGGCTGCTGTGACAACAAAGTTCACTCAGAAATTGAAATATGGCTTCTCGTTAATAAATAGTTATGAACTTGACAGCGTCCATAATGCAACTCGGGATGATGTGAACACAACTAGAGATGGGAATTTCGTGCCATGCTTTCAATGCAACTTATGGCCTCCTGAACAAGCCAATTTATTCTGGGGTTGTGCACCAATGTAAAGGCTAAGGCCAACTTCATTCCCTTACGCACACAATACATCTGAAGTAGCACCGGTCTCGGCATTAGTGTTCAGAACAGCTGTACCAGGCTAAAAACTACCACTCGCCAGGGCACTCAACCTCCGCGATCCGTGGCCTCTGTTTACATAGGAAGTGCCGCATCTTGCCAAAAGAGACTGATACATGGTGGCTTCTGCCAGGAGTCATATTCTGACAATAACCCTTAGAGGAACGTCACCTTTATGGGTTTTTGCGCTGAATTGAACTAACAAGTGGTTTCTTTTGCTATTTGATAATGACTTCTCTAATTTACCAAGGTTGAAGTTCTTGCATAACCTAATAGCTGAGGACTTTACCTTGCTTACTGACACTTCATGGCACCGCTTAAAGACTTTAGCGGTATCACTGCTGGCTTTTTCACAAAACACCCCCGTAAGAAGCACACAGAAGCCACCTTCTATCAGCTGGTAGCACACAAAGAGAATTGTCCATCAGGTAGTCAGCGACGCGCTTAATTGAGAGTTTCGGACGTGCTTCCCTAGAGCGGGCAACGACATCAACACCCTGACATGGTTGCTGTGGGGACGTCCGCAGACCAATCGTGAGCCCAATGCTGGGAAAACCAGTGCGATTCCGTACGTACATCCAATTTCACGCCATTTGAAAAAGATAACCCTGAGAGGAAATGTCCACGTGGTGCTCTCTGCTCCAAGCTAAGCCATCTATGTAAGCTTACGAACCACAAGGAGGAGGTGCAAACCACCTACGAAAAAAAACCATGTAACTAAGTTTGTTGAATGCGCCTTAGCTGTTATAGGTACATGTTCCTGCTGTCGTGTAGAGTGGTGGTTTATTAAATTGGGCAGACTGGTAGGTATGTTAATGACCGCTTGCCCGAGCACTCTTGCAATGTAAAAAACAAGATTTCTTCTGGTGGTTTTCTGGCTATGCATTTAAGACGTGTGGATGCACTCCATTCTTTAATCAGTGTGTCTTCTTGGGCCGCAGTCGACGCCAGTTGACACGGGAAATTATTGAGGCGAACGCTATCGCGAAATGTGCGAAGCTGTGTGTAAGCGGTCTGTGGCCTTATCTAAAAAAGAGCTCAATTTTCTGGAGCCTGTGCTGCGAAGCATTGATGTAGAATTGTTAGTATGAAACCAGATCACAACTAGATTTCTTTGATAGTGTGCTGTGCCACACATGTACGGGTTTTTTCATGTGTGTGGCATCACATGGAATGACCTATATAATGTGTTGTAAGGGTACGCAATAAACAAAAGTTGGAAGTTAGCACTCGCACTGTCATCTGTATTTCCCCTTCTTGACTGCATAGTATCTTTCCTTCATGCTCATACTGAGCTGCGCTAAAGCAATATCCTTTTATCATGCACAGACTCACCCAGTCAGCAGTACTAAGACATCAATAACTGGGGATGTTTAACATCTCGAAACCACGATATAACGAGAGATGATGTAGTGGAAGACTGAAAATTTTGAACACCACGGGGCCACAAGCAGCGAATCAACAAAAATAGGGTTCTTTACAATGTGCACCCAAACCTAAGTACACAGGCATCAAAGCCTTTCTGCCTCCATTATATGTAATCTGGCATTCATTCATTGGGATACCCATAGAATTTGGCATTATTGTACGGGGGGGGGGGGAAATGCACGGACAGCCCCCCCCCCCCACACACACGAACGCGCGAAGGATTCTGCAGAGTTAGTCATTAGTAGAATACTTTGCCATTCCAAACAATTGCTTCAATATTTCTATAACAAAAGACAAAAAATAAGAGTGACATAAAGCTGCCCCCTTCAAAGACAAAAAAATAAGAGTGACATAAAGCTGCCCCCTTCACTGACTCAACCCTGTAATGAAGTCAAGGGGGAAAGCGGCACTTCTAACACAGCTGACGCAGTGGCCATCACCCCCTCCCCCTCTTGCCCTTATCAGGACTTCGACCTTGCTCGACGACGAGGCGCGATTACACTAACACCGGGAGGACTTTAGACGGCGATGTTTGATAGGATAAGAGGGCTTAGGAAACACCGCGTAAAGCACGGGGCAGCCGTAGCTCAATCGGGGCGTCACACCGCCCCTATGCTCGACTCGTCATCCCGCGCCGACACACGTCGATCATCGAGGCACGCGCTTTTTTTTTTTAATAAAACAAGCCGCACAAGTCACTATACAATAACTCGTTTTTGACAGACGTCTGAATGCCGGGCGCAGGCGCCGGACGATTGCGTCTTTGCGCAGTCGAAATTTCACAAGCTAGTTTCTGCGGTTTTCGCCTGTCGAAAACGATGAGACGAGGCACGCGGCTTGAAACGCATCTTTACTGACCCACAGCCCCGAGTGCAGCATGGCAGCCAATGCAATCCCCAAAATGTCAAAAAATACCTTCATGTGTACGCTTAAAGAGAAACCTGCTTTTTCTGGTTCGGTGTGCCAGCGTTCAGACATCCAAGGAAACAAAACCATCACAGGTAGTCAAGCCGAGATGTATCATCATGCTGACCACCTCCAGACAAAGCAAGTTGCACGGGCTAACCGAAGCGTAACGTTTTACGGCCGCGAAAAGCCCGATAGCGGCAAGTTAAGCCGCTGTCGGGTACGCCCAGATTAATCTTGAACCGCCGAGGTGCTTTCTCAACATGCCTAAGGAAGTACACGAGTGTTCGGACATTTCGTCCTCATCAAAATCGGGCAGCCGCGAGTCGAACTATCGCCCTCCGATGTACGAGCAGCTAAGCATTCATAGAGCCCAATCCACCACGTCAGGTGCTGTCGAAACAAGTCGCGCGCATTGCGTGATGACACATCGCCCCAATCGATTCCAGGTCAACATTGGTCTGCTGACAAATTCACGCGGCTTGCGCACCGCGTAGATGCTTATCACAGTGGCCCCACGAAACGAGTGCTTTGTTTTTTTTTCTGCGCTACCCCACGCATCCCGCCCGTCATTGGAGCGAGGCACCTCCCTCGAAATTTTCACACGCTCAAACCGTTCGAGTCACGCAAAGTTTCTACGTTGCCACTCGTGGCGGATGACGTGACCTCACTCTTGTCAGTCGCGGGATGACCGTGTGAGCTATCCGCCGCAGTCTTCGCACACACGCCATCGGTAGTTTCATTGCTATTAGTAATCGTATCACTAGCGTTAATAGTATCCTTGCACTAACTACAGTTACCACAACGTGAAACGCAGCCTCGAAGCATACAGAGCGCGTGAAATGTCATTTTCTCACACAAACGTCACAAAGTTCGTACGAAAGCTATGACGCAGCGAGTACCAAGGTCACTGAACTCTGGCCCAATGTTTTTTTTTTTTTTAATTAAGCGCTCGTACCTTTCACGACTACACATTTTAACGCGCCTTCATGGGCGTGTGACAGCGTGTACAACGTCGTAAATTCAACGATGGATCAGATTAGGTTTTGTCTGCCTACGACCTACCGAGGATCGCAACAAAAAGCTCGCATGCAATGGCACCGCCCGCAGAGCAATTGAGCTGGAAGCTGGAACGCACGTTGACACCAGAAATAAAACGACTTTACAGGCTTTCGGTAATTAAGGTTACAAGCGGTACGCCAGCATCAAATTTTGCGCATCACTAGGAATATGCGAAGAGGAAAAAGCGCTCGCAAACGGAATCGAGCTTTGAGAAAAGCAGCCAAAAGAACGTTAAGTCCGCGCCAGTTTCGTTGCTAACGAACTCATCTTTTCGGTTATTCTTAAGACGAGGATGTTACCTGTAAACCCACGTTCCGAAGCTCACTACTGCGGTCTGCAGTGGTCCGACAAGCTGTCACGAAATGCATGTTAGCTAAAACAGCATTTCTTTAAACGCAGACAGGTTAGCCTTCGGAGTAACGTTTCTAGTGCCGATAAAAACAAGGCCGTCCGTGCAACAAGGAAGTGGACGGAGGTTTTCTTCAACTGGAAATCGTTCCACGGACAGCTACTCGACAAAAACGAAGTTTTGTAAAGTAGAAGTAGCCATAAAAGCCGTCAGCAAAGATAAGCTTTCGAAGACACGGGGCGTTTGCCGCACCCCACACAAAAACAATGCCGTAGTTTCCATTAATCAACCCGACAGCACGCCCATTTGTCAAGTGTCGTTCCTTGTGCATTAACGATTTAGGATAACAGCAACGATTGAAAGGCAATTTACAGCTCTTCGAAAACTTTCACAAACGGAGCCAAATGTAGAACCGCCTCGACTATCACGGTCTGTGCTCGCGAACAATGCAGCCGTGTTGAATCGGGCTCGAAGGGCATTGACAAAGCATAGCAGCTTCGGAGCGATAGAAGTCGCGACTGAAAACACACCCAGCTAGTTAGGCCTAGGGTGCAAAAAACAGCTGTCCACCAACGGGAGGGCAAGGGAAGGCTCCGGCGAAAAAAGTTCGCCCCGAGAAGACAGCCGAACAAAGGGACACCTCGAACAAGTTGCGACTTGCGAACGAGCCATCTACCACCGTCAAAACTGGTGTAAAATAGCGTGCAAACAGTCCGAACGAGGAAAAACCGTAGTACGCGACGCCACACATTACACGCGTTATTCCAACGAAGCCCCCGCAACAAGTATGCATCGTTATCGCCTCCTAACATAACGCCCGCTCACGCCCGCCGCCTCTTGCTTGCACAAAATGTTTCACCGGACCATTGCAGCCCGGAACATTCCCCAGTCCCGCACGCCAGCGCGATTTACGTTGTCGGGAGGGGCAAGCCCACGTTTTACGACGACAGAAGGGTTGGCTAACTCGAGCCACATCCCGTGACTAGCATCAAATCAATGGGACCTTTCATACGCGGTACACTTTGAAGTACACGGCGAAACGCCACGCTCGCTCAAAAAATATCCTCCGCGCGACCGTAGCGGTGGAATCTGCCAGGGAATGCCGTCCCAGACACGTTCCACACGCGCGAGCTCGACGTCTACGTGGAGGCGCCCCGACTGCCTCGCTGTCGCTCATTCGGCCCCCTGCACACGACGCCCGAGCAACACACGTAGCGGTGTAGGCTTAACCGGCGACACCCCTGCACATTTTCCGGTCCGAAACGGCGTAAAACAAATCTCGAAACACTCACTATTCCGGATTCATCGTAGTCATTCTGTGGCTCTTGCGGAGGCGAGTCTGTGGCAGAACTTTGGCTAGCTTGCACTCGAGTTACGGCGTTCTTTCAGCGGGGACCTGGCGATTCCGGAAGTTCTCAATATGGCTGCCTCCACCCTCTAGCCCAGCGGAATCTTGGGGGCCGTGGAATCAACGAATGACGTAAGAGCACGCGACGTGGCCAAGCAGTGGCGCCACCCAGGGATCGCTGAACAACGTGCGAATGACACGGCGTGATGGTAGCTCTTTAAACTCATATTTGTCCTTGAATTGCCAATTTTAATACTCTAAGCTTAAACTTCAGAATGCAGCAAAGGTTTAGAGAGAGTATCAAAAGATTTACGAGTCTTAAGGTGGCTTTAGTGGTTTCCTACACTGCCATCAGTTTCGGTTTCGCATGTGTCGTCCACCGCGTTATCCAAAGATGTCGCTGCTATCTTGCGATGTTGTCAAGTTTACCGAAGGGGGTTATTTGTACGACACGTAATCGTAGAAGTTATGTCGACTCGTAGGTACTTGGGCGTTGTGCAATTTTTTGGTCGATGTCTCCAGGCATCTGTAGGTCAGGTAGCCTACGCCACTGTTGACACATTATCGAGCAACATTGTTAGCGAGCGCTGTGTTGGTACAGTGTAGTGTTAGTGCACTCTAGCTGTGTCACGTTTGTGCATCTTCTTTTCCCTTCTATTCCTCTTGCTCGTGTGCGTCATTGTTACATGGGGACCGCCAAATTTAAACGCACTTGGTTCGCTTGAACCTAAACATTCGATAAACCAACCAGGCGGTAGAAAAGCGCCTCTCAACATACGGCGGTTACTAACACAGAATCACTAGAAAATTGTACCGGGGAGCCTGGGCCAGCATTTCACCGATTATAGTTCTGTAGTCGCTCTCTATGTTTTTGCAAAATGTAATACAGTCTTCGTTGGTCTGTTAACGCAAAAGTCTTAGGTGCCTCATCAAACGCGAAAAAGGACCATCGCGGCGTCAACACAAGTGACGCAAACTATCCAATGATGACGTCACATGTCTACCCTAGTGAAGTCATCACATGACACGTTGGCTTACGCGTTCGATTGGTCACAGGTGGGCCGATGATGGAGGCAGTGCATAATTACCTGAAGGCTTACCGTATAGAGCTTCCTAAAATTAACTAGGGGGTGCTTTAATTGGCCCTTCGATCGTTCAGCGACGATGATAATCATGGACACTACTCAGATTGGTCCAATCTTCGTACTTGCGGGCCTTGAATCGCAATTGTGGCTTCATTTATTGCAGTGTTTCGGTTTGGTTTCAAATAAAATAAATAACCGTTTGGACTTCGTGACCCGATTCGAAAAGCGAGGCTAAAAAATTGAAGGCGTCCTGAAACACTGTTTCAAGTAACCATGGAATGAATTCACTGGAAGAGCTTATGGCCTCACGAATTCAGCACCGCACAAGTTTTAGGAATCCGTCCAGTACGAGTGGAGTTACAAAGATTTGTCACACGCTGCAATCGCATTCTCTCTTCTCTCGTCCCGACGAAAGCACTGGAAGCTAAGCAGGGAGGGGTGGCAGGGCCACAGGGAAACGTCACGCGAGCCGCATGACTCTGAGCACTTTCTTTTTTCTTTTTTTTTTTTCATATGCGCGGCTTTCTCAGTGTGATCGCGCGCGCGAGCGTGGACAAGTAGCGGCCTCTCTTCGCGATCTCCGTGACGAGTGAGTGCGCCAACAACCAATGGCTGATAGATGGGCTTGCTACGTGTGATTTTTTGGGTATATTGCGTCATTTGTCGAGAGAAAAGAAAGCAATTTTTAGCTGACTTTGATGATTTATAGTGAATTTCAGACCGCGTGCTGCACTATATTATTTGGCTCGCGTGTTGTCGGGAGCCTCTATATACTACCGATCGGTAGCGTTTTCTGACCCTGCTCAAAAAGTGTTGCAAGGCCCCTTTAAGGTGGTGAAGCGTAAGTGATAACCTATTGCTTGTTGTCGTTTCGTGACAAAACAGCTTCAAGCCGTGCGAAGCCAAACAGAACGTGAAGTACGAAGATTAGGCAAATACATGTACTACCCATAATTACCATGCTCGCTGAAGCGCCATGCGTTACAGCTCCCATAGGCACTAGCGCCAGAGTTCCGCCTAGTGCATAAATAGGAAACTCCATGGGTGAAGGGACCCAGTGAGGTTTATTTCACTTGCTTCAACGTAAAATACCGACTTTGTTTCTCTTGCTTTTGTTTCGTCAAACTGGTAAAGTAATCGCATTCTGGCAAGCGGGAGTTTATGTAAGAAGTTCTCATGCAGCTATCGTTTGGAACATGATAACTGAGCTAACGTGGTCGAAATCAACCCAGAGCTCCGAAATACCACACCCTCCATAGCTTATAAGCTTCTTCGGACTGTTAGCCTCCTACGTATACATATGAATTCGATCAGTGACACCCCTGGGTGACAACGCAAACCTCGTTCACGCAAACAGAGCTGTATCGGATGAGAAATTCATTGCTCTCATATGCGGAATTCGAATAGCCGGAAAATGGTGCCGAAAGAAGGAGCTTGACGCGATGCGCTAAGGTAGTAATCATTCGAATGAGAACTCATCTACAATATGAACTGATCTTAAAAACAGCTTCCCTTGTGCATTACGGATTACACACTGGTGGAGTCGATCATGAAAGATGCTCTAGCTTGTCACCCCTGGTGTAATTTTTATATGCAGATGAACATTTTCACCCATAAATATATTTCATCATCAGCAGCAGCCTGACTACATTCACTGCTATATTTCATATAACCTGAAGAAGTTTTGCATCAGACAGGAACCTAAATCCACGAAGAGTTGAGGTAAATCCATTAGCAATGAAATACGTGTTGCACTAGTACTGCTACTACTACTACTGTTACTTCTACTACTGCTGCTGTTCTACTACTGCTGCTGCTACTACTACTACTACTACTACCAACACCACTACTACTACTACCAGTACTACAACTACTACTACTACTACTACTACTACTACTACTACTACTACTACTACTACTACTACTACTACTACTACTACTACTATGCTACTCAGGCCGTGCCTGGCCACCACCTGCTCAGCTCGTTGTGTTGCCCGGAGCCGTATCTCGAGGCTGTGGTTGCGGAGTACATTTTAAAATATACTGAAAAAAATAGCGATTACTTTTGACGTCTAGTCCTGCAACACCATTCGCGTCAGCCGGCGGCGCCGGAAGTTGGCAAAGCCAGGTTCTTCACGTTACGTTAACGTGAAAATGGAGCACGCAATAATCCGGTGCACGCGCTGCGCCACGCCATCTTGACGCATGCGCATTAGCGCACGTCCAGCGCACGGGCCCTATTATATAGAATTTAAGCGGAATGTCCTGGCGTTCGTTGCTTCTTATCTATTGCCTTTTTTTTTCGCCGTTGCGTATCTAAAAACGGGAGGCGCCACTTAATTTTCAACCTTCCTGAATATCCCGCAGCAAACTGCATTGAAATCAGGTAATTTGTATAAAGATTATAGCCCCTTCAATTGGGTCAGTTAAAAAAGAACGATCCGGTACGACAACCGTATAGATGATATGTGGGGTTTAGCGTCCCAAAATCACCATATGAGTATGAGAGACGCCGTAGGGGAGGGCTCCGGAAATTTCGATCACCTGGGCTTCTTTAACGACGACAACCGTATACTTCTACCAGTAATACCGGAGCGTAACCATAAATTTTTAGGGGGGGGGGGGGGAGGGGACCGTTCAATCATACTTTATGTATACGCTCGTGAGTGCGTTTTTATGTGTGCGTATACGAGAGCAAAATTGTAAAATAGAAGAGGGAGGGAAAAGCTGACTTCTCCCCCCCCCCCCTTATGGCAGCAGTACTATATGCTATGCGCTATGGTAGCTTCGCATGATGACTTTGAATAGGGTGCCTCAATCCTCCTCCTCACCTTCACCTTTGTAAACAGCCCAGACAAACTGTAGGATGTATGAGCTTTGCCTTCAAGAGTTGAGCGTAATCGGGCCCCCTAACGTACCACCCTGAACCGTAAAAAAAGAAAGTTTGTGCGCATAACATTGGCCACTTTAAACTATATATTCAAGAATATCTACTACAAGGACATATGCGATGTGCCCACTACGCGATACTTCTTCATTTTGGAAATTTGCATATCCCCGCCACTGTGGTCTAGTGGCTAAGGTACTCGGCTACTGACCCGCAGGTCGCGGGATTGAATCCCGGCTGCGGCGGCTGCATTTTCGATGGAGCTAGGCGAAAATGCTGTATAGGCCCGTGTACTCAGATATGGGTGCACGTTAAAGAACCCCAGGTGGTCGGAATTTCCGGATCCCTCCACTACGGCGTCTCTCATAATCATATCGTGGTTTTGGGACGTTAAATCGCAATATATCAATCAATCAAACTTGTATAGTATATCTACCGCGTACCCGTGATGTGCGATGTGGACCTGAGCAACCTCACACTTGGTAATATCTGGGCAGCTTTAATTCATGCATATGGTTTGCTGCTTCTTTGCGTTGCTCCTTCACGAATACTGACACAGTAATACGAATAACTGTCATTTGATAAACAAATTTTAGTTTATTATGTTGTGCTTGCGTCTCGCCAACCTCTCTTTTTCGCGTCATTATAAAGTACAGCCTTATTCTTCATAATATAGTGCATTATTTTGATAACAAGTATATACGCAGACTGTCAAGATACGCGACAAGCGTCGCACTTATATATAACGTATATATTGTAGCGGCTACTCACAATCTGCGGAAACACGCCCGGAGCGATAGGTTAATCAGCAAATTCCGCACAACGCGATGACTTAGAGCCTTGTATCAGTGGAAGTTTTGGTGACCCGACTTTAGATGTGAAAACACTGAAAGGAACTCTAGGCCGCGAGATAAGGTATCAGCTCTGCAATAGATGCCGGTCTTAATCTTGTCTATACGGAAAATTTTAGCGGATATTTTCTGCGGCCTCCTCCTGCATTCATGCTGAAGAGACCCAGTCACTTCGCCAGGTTCGGTCAATGCTGGTTGTGAAGGCCTACTGGACACGGGCCGAGCTTATGGAATGCTGGACTAAGGACGCCTTTTAGATTTATCTCTGTTCTCAAGCAAACGGAAATAAGGATGA